GGAGCAAGAAGCTACTAGGGGCTCCTGGCCTCGCTACTAGGAGCAAGGACGCTACTAGGGGCTCCTGGCCTCGCTACTAGGAGCAAGGACGCTACTAGGGGCTCCTGGCCTTACTACTAGGAACAAGACGCTATTAGGAACAACGTTTCTTCGGACTCGTGCGATTTGCAGGATGCCCGTCGGAAGGAGCCTGGATTCGAGGCGCAGAAAGCCACTGTTGTTTACAGCAAAATTACTGCTTCTTCTCCTGGTATGTGAGGCCACAGTGCTTGCCAGTTACCTGGAGATTTGCTCAGAGTGGAAAGCTTTTGCTGGATGGCTCGTATGACTTGCAGACTAGCGGCTAGCGGTACAAAAAAACGTAGATTTGCAAGCCTGCAAGAACTCAAAAAAGGACAGATTGTCTTGATTCAAGTTGTTATATAAGGAGATCTACAATGAGAAGATTTACGACCTTCTGGCAGGCAGCAATTCCATGTAGAGAAAGCTTCCCTCGCATAAGTGCCACAAGTGGGAGGTGGCGATGGAGGTGAATTGCTGGTGTGTCAATCTCAAATTAAACGGAGCAAAGACAAAAGATACAAAAAGAAGGTAAAGGGCCTCTTTAGTAAGGCTCCCTCAAGAGGGGTCTTGTTAAAGATGGGCCCTTTACCATATTCTTTTTAGCGTTGTTGTTGTTTTTGTGGACACGAGGTGCTTAAACAAGGAACACCACCGAGGCGAAACCATCCCGACCTTGGGCCCATCGTTCCACACCTGACAGAGTGTCCTGTGGAAAGTTTTCAGGAGGCGTGGAAAGCTAAGCAACACATTGGACAATCGAAAAATTGTGCATTCTTGATTTGGGGAGGTGTAGGTGACTGAACAGGGCTAGGAAAGGTGTAGGCTACTGACAGAGGAGGCAGAAGCGCTAATAGCCATGAGAAACCTAATCCCTAGTAGCGATGGCCTCCAACCTACTAGCGATGGCCTCCAACCTAATAGCGATGGCATCCAACCTAACAGCCATGGCCTCCAACCTAAGAGCAATGGGCTCCAACTTAATGGCGATGGCCTCCCTCTCCACTAGAGGGTTTCTTCGGGAGCTTCCATGAAGAACTCTTCGCTCCTTTTTCGTTTTGGCTCCTAGATTTTTAGTCTAACTTTACTCCTCTCCTTTTTCCGTTCTTGATTCCTTTCTTTCACGCATGTGATAGAAAACTCAACTTCCTGAGGTCTTCCGTTCCGTTTTCAATGAATGTTGCATTCAGAGTGACAGAGACAGTTGGAAAAGATTCATGCAGCTGCCCTTCTGTTCTTGTCAGGCACATGAGCTACTCGACTTCGGCGCGAAGCGTCGTGCCGTGGGTGCCACCCAAATGAACGCCACATCTTCCAGGCGAAGTCTGATACAGTTCACGTAAAACAAGAGTAAATGTACTAGTGATGACCTCCAACCTACTACAGTACATAAAACAAGAGTCAAGACAGTCTTGCAGTCTGCAATTTCTTTGTGAAACTACAAGGATTTGCTTGCTGCATGTCATGCTGCATCACATTTGATATGTGTTGCACAATGTTTGAACACAGTTTTATTAGTGAATATTTTTGGACGTTTCCAATCAGCTTGCTACATCACATAATGTCATCTAGAATGTTTACTAAACGAATGCGACACACCTGTCATGGGAACTTGAATGGATTTGAATGATAAGCTCAAGCTTCATTCTTCATTCGACACTGTAGGAAGGATTAATTCTGCAGCATTATTCTGGACACCAGACACTGTCCAATGAAACATACTGTCAGTCCAAAGACGGTTCTTTGGTGTTGCTATCCGCTTGAAGGTCACATGCGGTCTTCACCTTGCAGGCGCTGTTGTTCAAGATGTTTGAGGGAAGATCACTTTAGTTTCTTGCTACTAGTAATGCACTTGTTACTAGTAGTGATGCCCTTAATACTAGTAGCTTCTTGCTATGATTTGGAGAATCAGTGAATTCGGTAGGGATTGAAGGGAGTCTTCTCAGGTGCGGATGGTGACGTCTCGGCCTGGCGGACACACTGAGAGCCAGGTGAGTCGATGGGTTTACCGGTTGACCGTGTGGTGATGCCGTGAGAGTCGTCCGGTCCACATCGGGTGAGACGCCGGACAGGCGAAGATGCACTTCGTGGACTTGGCTGGAAGTGAAAGGCGTCCACTCGCTACGAACGGGGCTCCTGGCCTTACTACTAGGAGCAAGGACGCTACTCTTGGCTTTGCCTCGATTCCCTGCAGGCAGAAAAAGACCGGAGCGGCAGGCGAGCGACTCAAGGCATGGGCCGCATTTGAGCGACTGTGTGTCTTGTCTTTTAAAATGAATCTTTTCCCACAGAATTCAATCCAATGAGATGCAGACCTTTAAGTTGGATCAGTTTAGCCAGGAAGGAATTGGCATCAACTTGTCCTTGACCACCTTGGGGAGGGCCTTTACCCAAGACGAGACATGTTACATCTTCCAACACGTAGGACAGCACTCTATAGAGACTTACTGACTGACTGACAAAACTATGAGCTGTTGACTGGGTCACTGCCTGATCGAGCACCAAACTGTAAGTCGTTCATCGATACGATACTGTAGCTTCGCTCAGTTTGTCAGAGACTCTCAGCCATGCGCCGAGGTGATCTCTGAACTGACCAAGCCTGGTGCAAGGACATAGTTGGACGTTGTCTATCCTTGATACCCTTAGCTCAAATCCCAAGTGGTGATTTATGTGGTGGGACGGCCACAAAATAGTCAGTGGGATCTGAGCCAAGAGTCCTGAGGTGAGTATACAAGTTGTCTGTGCGCTCCAGTTCATTTGTTGGGTGAGAGAGAACAATTGGAGGAGTGTTCCTGCCTTTCGTGAATCCAAGCTTACACTCCTTCTAAAGGACAAGTATTTGTTGCATTGTTGCTTGTTGTGTAGCTTGCTTGCAGAACACATTCTTGCTTGTACAAGTATGGGTACTTAATTCCGAGACAAGGCTGTCTTGAAATTCAGGATGCTTTGATGGGCAACAGTCGCACGGAGCTTCTTGCATGCATCAGCCCGTCGCTGTACAACCTGGAGGAGGGCTGACTTGTCGGATGGTGGGAAGTGCAAGGTTTGCACTTCATTGGAGTCTTTGTTCTTCCTAGTAGCTTCTTGTTACTAATAGCAAGAATGCTACTAGTAGCAATGCCCTTTGTTACTAGTAGCGATGCCCCTGTTCCTAGTAGCTTCTTGTTCCAAGTAGCTTCTTTGTGTTCATGAGTTTGCCAGCCAAATTCCAGGAAACTGTGAGCACCCTGGAGTTCGCAGCCAGATGTGCCTTGTCTGGTCTGTGTGAATTGCAGTTCTCTATACTTGCCAAGTCGTTCCGATTGAGTTGAGCCACCACAAGGCTCTTCTTTCCTAAAGAGGATAAGAATCGCTGCCAAACACAACACACCTCTGCACAAAATTCCTGGTCGGAAGGCAAGCTTGTAAAGACGAGCGCCGTGAAGAATGAACAGAGCAAGGCACAACAGCTGTGTGATCCCTGCCATTTTGTTCTGCAATTGTGGACTTAATTGTAGAGTACGATTTAATTGTAGAAAACCAAGAGGATCCAAACTTTGCCCCTTGGAACTTAGACGAGAAGAGCATCGTCGCAACTATATTTTGCGTCTAGTAGTAAGGTGCCTTGCTACAAATAGCTTCTTGTTCCAAGTAGTAATGCCATGAGATACTAGTAGCTTCTTGCTACTAATTCGTAGCGATGCACCTTGTTACTAGTAGCTTCTTGTGGGACCTGGGCGAAGCTTGACATGGAGAGATGAACTTGCAGCTTTGGCACAAGCTGAATGTGACTCACCGGCCACTCATGGGTCCCAGTTGAAGTGAGTGCCACACAGATTCAGTTTTTCGACCCGACCGTGAAGAGCCTGAGACACTCAGATGTGTAGGACGAATATTGAACATAGCACCGCCTTTAGCACGCTTGACGCGGCTTCTGGTCAGAGACACACCACGCTTGATTTTGATACAGAGATAGCTTGGTTATCCATGGAATGGCGGGTGTCGCCACGTTGCTGTCGGTGAAGACTTGGCCACAAAGGTTGCCCTCTTGCATTAATCAGCCCAAGTTGCCAAGCCTTTTCAAACGAGTACGATTGAGGAGCTCAGGAGTCTTGGGTTGTCTCAGGCTGTCTTGGGTGGCCAGAAGTCTAAGAGAAGGAAGAAGAAGAAGTTAAGGGACCCTCTTTATAAGGCCCCCGACCTTCTTCTTTCTTCTCTTGGCCTTCCGTGTTTCTGATGCGTTTTGCGGTTTGTGCTTTGAGGTATGTAAGTCTTCGAAACAATCCTAGTGGAACGGTGAGTGGCTGGGATGGAGATCCTGGACCAGCAGGTCATCTCATTTTTCAAGATGCTTGGCTGCCTTGGCTGCCTTGGCGTTTGGAGACATTCGACTCCGAGACCGGGTTTCGCGGCCTTTTTGCCGCTTCAGGGACGAAACGTGTGTCGAGAGCTGGGGAGTCATTTTGCTGTATGTGTTACTAGTAGTAAGAATGCTCCTAGTAGCGATGCCAGGAGCCCCTAGTAGCGTCCTTGCTCCTAGTAGCGATGCCCTTTGCTCCTAGTAGCGTCCTTGGTTTCTTTGTTTTATTTGTTTTGGTTGATTTCCCCAGCTTAGGAGAGGGAAGGCCACTATCTCATCTCAACAGAGCACTTGCCACGCAACTTCTTTCGGCTCGTGAAGGACACCAATCAATCAGCTTGATCCGGGCGTAGTTGTCGCCGCCATGCCTTGATTTGAGTTGCTTGGCAAGTGTTTGTTTGACATTGACCTCGAACTTACTGGATGAAAATAAACCTGGGATAAGCAACCCAATTGCAAGAGCAAGGCACAAGGGTAGGAATGAGTTGAATGGAGATAGAAGCATTTTTATTTTTACTTCCTGCTTGCCTTTTTTGTACCTTTTTGGTGGCCTTTGTGGGGGCTATTCGATCATTTTCTTTGCAACGTATTATATATCCCATCCAAAAGGCTTCCCCAGAGCCACAATGGACTGCGTGTCACCGGTACTCCAACCAATGGAGTAGTTTTCTCAAGCGGATGTGTTTGGGTGTGCAAGCTAAGCTGCAACCCAACCAACTAACAAGTACTATAAAGGTAACTTGGGGCTTCGCGCCTCAATTATATAGGACTGCGAATTGAATGTATTTATATAGGAGGATCGGATTGGTTGTTGAACAAAGAAATGCACAAGATACTTCAAGATACTGTAGTATTAACATGATACTTGGAAATTGCTAGTGCAAGGCAACAATGCATCGGAATGGGATGTACTGAGATTGTGGTGCAAGCACAGCTAGCCAACCATTTATAAATAGCCAAGCAGCAGTCAGGCAGCAACGTTCTGTTGCGTGCACAGACAGATGCTTGCAAAAATGGCTCAAAGCTTCCTGTGTTCGGGAGGATCTGCAGCTTTGTTTGAACAACCCTTAAGTGCTTCTTTTCCACAAGCAAGACTGGTTTCTTGCAGGATGAATTTGGCAGCTATTTGCATGTTATTGGAAAGCGCGGAGAGCCTGGCCGTGCGGGCCAATTCGTCATCGAGGACTCTGGAGAAATATACAACAGAGACAGACTTTGCATGAAAACGGCCTCCACCCGATGGCCTCCCTAAAAATTTGTGCAGTAACAAGTGCCTCGCTAGTAGTAACAGGTGCCTTACTAGTAGTAACAAGAAGCAATTAGAAACAAGTGCCTTACTACTAGTAACAATAAGAATACCGACTTTGCATGACTGTGCTGGGTCTTATTTGCTGTTCGCTGTTTCTGACTTTAGAGGAGATGCCTGGATACTTGCTCATATCATCCAAGCAGTGGCCGGAATGGTTTCTCTTTGTGGTTACTTGGTTACCTGAAACCGGTGTTTGCTATTTTCGATGATCTTGAAACACATAAAACAACAACACTGCAAATCCATGTTTGTAGCAGTGTTTGAGCCTGACACTCAGGATGAGCTTGGCAGGCCTCTTGATGGCACTGAAGCATCCCAGCGCACTTCGACTTTGCACACAAATGTTGCAGGTTGCGCGCAGAACCTGGTGATCCTGGCAGCAAAGGGCATTTCCTCTTGAACAGAAAGATTCCACAGGCACAGTATGTTGCACAAAGAACATTGGGAGCAAGAAGCTACTAGGGGCCCCTGGCCTTACTACTAGGAGCAAGGGCCTTACTACTAGAATTAGTTCTGGTTGAGTTGACGCGCGTGGAGCACAGGACTCAGATGCACCGGGGTCAGGGCCCAAAGTATGCAAAAACTCCATGTGTCTTTCGTGTAGAGACGGTTTCACTTAGGCTTCCGCCAATCATCCAAACCATGCAGCTTGATTGCAAATGGACAGAGAGTAGCTTGTGTATCAAAGGCCATCGCTTTTAGGTTGGAGGCCATCGCTAGTAGGTTGAGCAAAAAAGAGCGCAAAAGGACGATGGAGCAAAGGTATGTTTCTACTAGCTTCTTGTTACTACTAGTAAGGCACTTGTTACTACTAGCGTGGCACTTGTTACTAGTAGCTTATTGTTTCTACTAGCTTAAAAGCCATAAAGCAAAGGTACCTTATCCACAACAAAGACCGTGAACATGCGGCAGCTATGTCATTGCTCAGCAATCAAAAAGAAGAGGCATGGGTTGTGTTCACCGTCCTCAAGCGGTGTTTGGAATCAGGGACATAAGGCTAAAAGGAAAATCTATGATAAAACAATTTCTTGTTTCACTTGGGAAAGAATGCTTGCAATTCAAGAGCATTTTGTCGAATCTCGTCTTGGCATGTCAGGTGCGCGCGCGTGAAGTGGCGGTGCTAAATGCACAGATGGCCAGCGAGCGTGCCGCCTCCGAGGCGACCCTCCACGATACCAACCGACACTCAGCCCAATGGGTAGGAGCAATGTTCGCTACTAGGAGCAAAGGGCATCGCTACTAGGAGCAAGGATGCTACTAGGGAGCAAGTGATGGCCTCCAAGCTAAGACCGACGGCCTCCAACCTAAGAGCGATTGCCTCCAACCTAGAAGCGAAGGCCTCCAACCTAAGAGCCATGGCCTCAACCTAAGAGCAATGGCCTCCGACCTAGATTCGATGCCCTTGAACCTAGAACCGATTACCTCCAACCTAAGAGCGATGGCCTCCAACCTAAGACCGATGGCCTCCAACCTAAGAGCGATTGCCTCCAACCTAGAAGCGATGGAATCGAACCTAGAAGCGCTGGCCTGCAACCTAAGAGCGATGGCCTCCAACCTATGACCGATGGCCTTCAACCTAAGAGCTATGGCCTCCAACCTAAGAGCAAAGGCCTCCAACCTAGAAGCGAATGCCTCCAACCTAAGAGCGATGGCCTCCAACCTAAAAACGATGGCCTCCAACATAAGAGCGATGGCCTCCAACCTAGGAGCGATGGCCTCCAACCCAGAAGCGAGGCCTCCAACCTATATAAGAGCGATGAGATCCAAACTAAGAGTGATGGCCTCCAACCTAAGAGCGATGGCCTCCAACCAAAGAGCCATGACCTCCAACCTAAGAGTGAATGCCTGCAACCCAAGAGCGATGGCCTCCAACCTAAGAGCGATGGCCTCCAACTTAACAGCGATGGCCTCCAACCTAAGATCAATGACCTCCAACCTAAGAGCGACGGCCTCCAACCTAAGGGCGATGGCCTCCAACCTATCCGAGATGGCCTCCAACCTAGAAGTGATTGCCTGGAACCTAAGAGCAATGGCCTCCAACCTAGAAGGGATGGCCTCCAACCCAAAAAAGCCTAATCTACTAGCGCTCCAACCTACTAGGCATGGCCTCCACCCTAGAAGGGATGGACTCCAACCTAAGAGCAAAGGCCTTCAACCCAACAGCAATGGCCTCCAACCTAGATGCGATGGCCTCCAACCGAACAGAGATGGCCTCCAACCCAATAGCAATGGCCTCCAACCTAGAAGCGATGG